CAATTTGCAGTCCCACCAGCAATGTTATGAGTGTGACTTTCCCCCACATCTTCACTAACATTTATTGTTGTTTGTATTCTTAATAGCTACTATTCTGACTGGAGTGAGATGAAATCTTAAAGAGTAGTTTTGATTTGCATTTCTCTAATTGCAAGAGATGTTGAACATTTTTTCATATATTTGTTGATTGATTCTATATCATCTTCTGAGAATTTTCTGTTCAGTTCCTTGGCCCATTTATTGACTGGGTTGTTTGGGGGTTTTTTGGTGTTAAGTTTTTTGAGTTCTTTATATATTCTGGAGATCAGTGCTCTATCTGATGTGCATGTGGTAAAAATTTGTTCCCATTCTATAGGCTCTCTCTTCACTTCACTGATTCTTTTTTTTTTTAAGAGAGAGAGAATTTTTTTAATATTTATTTTTTAGTTTTCGGTGGACACAACATCTTTGTTTGTATGTGGTCCTGAGGATCGAATCCGGGCCGCACGCATGCCAGGTGAGCGCACTACCGCTTGAGCCACATCCTCAGCCCTTCACTGATTATTTCTTTTGCTGAGAAGAAGCTTTTCAGTTTGACTCTATCCCATTTATTGATTCTTGATTTTATTTCTTGTGCTATAGGAGTCTAATGACTTATCATCACATTTCCATAGTCCCACATCCTCTATTCTCACCTGCTTCTGATATCYGATTTTATTTTCCTCTTCTATTATGTCCTAGCCACAGAGTATATTCTAACATTCTTCAGTGCTAATGTCTATAATGCTAATATATATTTTTCATAAAATCTAGGCATTGTTTTATTGACATTATAAGTAGCTACCTGTTTCCCATTTATTCCAGGGAATTTGTGGATAACTGTTATCATTCTGCTTTACTATGACTTCAATTGATTCTTTTTTTCTCCCTCATCCTTAATATCTTTAATAGCATAAGTTCTCTTAACTGTTTCCAAAACATATACTGAATCTGTTTACTTCTTTCCATCTYTCTTGCTACCATTTTAGTCCAAAACACTATCATCACTTGCACCTAGAACAATGTGGCCACCTGTCTTGTTGCAATACTTTTTATCCCCCCCCCYGCAATACATTCTCCACACTATACCCATAAAGAGCTTATTATAACACAAATTCAATCTCATTACTTTCCTCCTCAAAGCCTACTATGGCTGTCCATCACAACAGAATAAAATCCAAACTCCTTACCATGGCCTTACAAAGCCCAACATGAATTATGTATAACTATAATCACCAATAAAAAAAGGGGGGATGAAGAAAGTGTGCCCAACATGATTAGGTCTCAGCCTACCACTTCAAGATTCTCTTTCTCTTGCACATTAAAGAGCTGTACTGGTCTTTTGACCATTTCAGAATAAGCCAAGCTTGTTGTTATAAGCCTTGGGAACCCTGTGCTCAAGCATTCCTTTGCCTGGACACTTACTTTAGATCTTTATAGCTTAGCTCTTCCTCATCAYTCAGGGATCCTCTTCAAAGAGACTTTCCCTGACCACTCTGGTTAAAGCAGGGCTTCCAACCATGTTCTAGTACCTCACCCAGTTTTATTTTTCTTCTAGCACTTATCACTACCTGAAATTTTCATCTAATTATTTCCTGTATATCTTCTTCCTCATAAATAGGGACCTTGTCTAGCTTGTCTGCTATTATAACCTATGCCAAAATAGTTCCCAGGACATTGTGAATGAAAATAATTGTGTATTTATTGAATGAATGACCTCCTGAGGCCTTGATTCAGAATTCTTTGTCTCTGAACAAAAGTTTAAGTTTAATAACCTGAGTGTTGTATATGTTTATTTAGTCATACTATGCTTCTTTAAGAAAAGCATATGAACAAAAAGCATTTTATTCACTTGTAAATTTACATTTCTTATTCTTTGTCTTAAAAATATTATGGCTACGATGGCTAAGGACTCTATAAATATAACACAGCCAAAGAATGGGAAAAAAGAAAACAAAAGAACCAAATTATGTTAAACTTCCCAAACTAAGTTGTTTCCCAATCATAAATGTATCTGTTCATGCTATTTTCCTTTAACAAATGAAAAAATATCTATTTTATAGGTGGAACTCTTAGGGATTTAAGATTTTGGAAAGTTAGTTCTTCTTCTTAATATTATAATTTCCATTTTGATTTGATTATCACTACCTGAATAAGGGGAGACTAAATCTGCATCTATGTTAAAAGTACTTAAATAGATTCCTTATGGTCACATGTTCCTATAGGTCATTCATTCATCAACACACATGTGCATTAACCACATTTTAGGCAATGTGCTTAAGAGGCAGAATGACTTACTACTGTTTCTGCTCAGGCAGAGAAACATGGAGGGACAAAACAAGGCTACTTATATTAAGCTCGAGAGGTCAGGGAAAGGGTCTGAGTGGAACTCTTGACACCTGGGAAGAGTGTTGCCATAAATGCATAAGAGATAATGGGGGGGCTGGGGATGTGGCTCAAGCGGTAGCACGCTCGCCTAGCGTGCGTGCGGCCCGGGTTCCATCCTCAGCACCACATACAAACGAAGATGTTGTGTCCGCCGAGAACTAAGAAAATAAATAAATAAATATTAAAATTCTCTCTCTCTCTCTGTCCCCCCCTCTCTCTCTCACTCTCTCTTTAAAAAAAAAAAAAAAAAAAAAAAAAAGAGATAATGGGGAAGGAGTTCCAGATAAAATGGGCAAATATCAGAACTACAGAGCACATGTGAGGGATGGCCAAAAAGATGAGGCTGAAGTTAATGAAGTGCCCTGTATTCTTCACTAAGGGATTCTAATCTGTGCTATTAGGTACTTATATGGAYCCTTAGGGATTTGTACATACATTCTCAAGACTGAGATTTCTGTAGGAGAAACCTTTCACTTTCAGTCTGACAAAAATTGAAAAGAAGGGAAAAAAAAGATTTTTTTAAAAAAGGGTACTCTGGGTCATCTGGATGACCACTTTTAGTTGAGTGTTACAAGATTTCAGTTCACACATATGGTTCAGACACATCTGTGTCACATTTGTTGCACCACTTGTCATTGGTGCAGGATGAGAAAGAAATGGGAACTATTATACATAAGTGACATTTTCAAATGAAGGTTCAGTGAAGTTATGAACCAACAGGGTACAGTGATGCATGCCTGTAATCCTACCTACTCAAAAGCCTGAGGCAGGAAGATTTTGAGTTCAAAACTAGTCTTAGGAAACTTAGCAAGACCCCATCTCAAAATAAAAAATTAAAATGGTTGGGAATATAGGGCAGTAGTAAAGCACTCCTGGGTTCAACCAAGTAAATAAACAGAAGTCATGACACACCAAATAAAGGAAATTTTTGCAGTGGTTTAACAAAGAAAGGAACATCGAGTGATCTCTTGACACTAGGGAAAATGGATAGGCTTTTCAATAAGGAAGAGGTTTACTTTGAGAAGTCTTTAGATCCAGCAAAATATTTTTTTTTTTTTAAGAGAGAGTGAGAGAGGAGAGAGAGTGAGAGGGAGAGAATTTTTAATATTTATTTTTTAGTTCTCGGCGGACACAACATCTTTGTTGGTATGTGGTGCTGAGGATCGAACCCGGGGCCAAACGCATGCCAGGCGAGCGCGCTACCGCTTGAGCCACATCCCCAGSCCCCAGCAAAATATTCTTATTGGACACAACGAGTAAGTATTCATTTGAATTTATTGATTTTATAGTTTTGCTTCATTTTTAAATGTTTAGGTGTTATAGTTGTATAAAAATACAATATAAAGAGTTTATACCTACTTTCATACTTGATTTCATGTTTAACATACTGAGATATTTTAAGTTAGAATGGAGGATCCTGGGTACCAGTTCTGGTTTGAGAAATTCTGCTGTAAGAGACAGGGAACCACTGAAAGATTGTAACATGAGAACAGCTTTGTGCTTTAGAAAAATCACTCTGGAAGAACGGAGCATTGGAACTGAAAGTACCAACTGAAAGAACAGTTAGGAGGCTACTTAATAATATGATAAAAATGGTAAGGCCCCAAATTACTCAATGAAATAAAGATGAGACAATAAGAGAACAGAAGGACTTGGCTGTGGGTGAGGTAAAGGGAGACATCTAGATAGAATGACTCTGCCTTGGGTGTTTTGGTGGTGAGATAAAGACCACAGGAAGACAAACAAGTGAAGGCAAAGAGGAAGGAGAAAAGAGAGAGATAATGAGTTCAATTCAGCAATGACTTGAATTTCATTCCAGCCAAAGAAAATCCAGTTATGTTTTCTGGGTTCTAGTTTTCTCAGTGACAGCTGCATTCATGAATTACCAAATTAACTATTGTAGCGCTGTCTAAAAATAAAGCACTCCACTGTATGCTCTAAATAAGTCATGAAAATCAGCAAAAGCCAAGCTCTGAAGGAAATGCATCAAGGTTAAAAAGAGATATGGTTTTTTTTTTTTTTTTTTTTTTACTGAATTTAAATTGTGACCCAGCGCACTCACCAGTACTGTAATTTTTGAACTGCCAGTCAGACATGATCACTCACCTTCCTAGAACACCTAAGAACTAGATGGAGATGCAAAGACCTCTCTCAGGGACCTACAACAAAACAATGGGACAACTTCTAGCTTAAGGTTATTGAAATTTTAGTGCACTGGAAACTTTGAACATATAGGCAGGGCTAGTTAACAAAGTATGCATCTTTTACTTACAGAAATCAACGTGGAATATCTTAGGTAGTCCTATAAGAATGTAAGCATTTCATATTTTATTCCCTTTAAGTGGGGCAGGGTATGGGATTGGAAGGGAGAGGAAGGAAAACGCAGCAATTATCGCAATACCAGTCATTTTCCGCAGGCCACACAAAAGGCGGGCCTCTGAGAAGAGTAATTCAATCCTAGTTTGGTGGGAAAGCATCATCTTCCACCACTAATCATAATACAAAAGCAAAGTGTTTATACAAATAAAATGTTTAACAGTTAACCTCATCCACGACGTCTAACGAGCGGCTGAAGGGAAAGCCGCGGGGCGTACCTTTGGAGAGTGGTCACACTCGACACAGCCCCTGCGGGCGCCTGGCTTGAGCCTCCCAGAGCGAAAGCCAGGGGCGGCAGGAGACGGGGTACCAGAGAAGCAATGACCCCTGAGTGCAGCACAGGAAACTGGACCAGGAGGCGGCAACACAGCGCCCCCAGGGGTCTTCCCCGCGCGCCGCTACCAACCCGAGAAAGCTCTGGAGCCGCACAGCGCAGCCCACACCTTTGCTGGACCCAAGAGGGCGTTCTGGAGGCGGGGCCGCGTCATGCTGGGGCGGGGCTGGGGCAAGAACGCGTTTCCTGTTGCCTGATGGGAGTTGTAGTCCAGGAGGAAGCCAGCGTGCCCTGGGAACTACATTTCCCTCAGAGGTAGCGGCTACGGCAGGCCGCGAGGTAAAGCGGCTTTGCATTGTCCGMGGGCGGAGAGCGTCTTAGGGGCAGGACAGGAAGGGGGCGTTTTTTTTCTTCCCCTCTTCGCGTTCAGGTGGTGCGTACTTTGCGTTCCCTCGCCCAGTTACTGGGTACCCAGTACCCGGCTACCCGGTTAGCTTTYTTAAGATTCGGAGGTAGCTGTTTCTGCCCTACGTGGGAGTGAGGGGCCAGCCCTCTTCGGCCCAGCCAACCCTGCGGGCCGATCGCTCATCCATGGGCCCAACCCGGAAGCCCAACGTGTGCCGGAGGCTGAGTCGCCGGGCGCTGGGCTTCTTCGCGCGCGACGCAGGCGTGGTGCAGAGGACGAACCTGGGCATCCTTCGGGAGCTGGTGTGCCAGGTGACCTCCCGCCGGTCGCGGGCAGAGTGGAGGCAGCGGGGCACCTGTGGTCAGACTTCCTGCTGGGGTGCAGTTTTTGCATTCTAGGCTCCCTTTTGAGTGTGTTTCATATGACGRGAAGGGGGAATACGTGTCGTGCACCTGGGGGATTAGTAAATAGGTGTTAATAGGGCTGTCATATGGTTTTAGTTTTAAGCTGCTTATGCCTTCCTGCAAACTGTGTTTCTAAAAGTTGGGCACCCAGTTTAACCTAGACGCRAGGGCAGGGTGAGGAAGAATTCAAAATGTTTTTAAATAGCGTATGTGAAATTACTTTGAAAATGATATATTTACCCTACTTAAAATGGATGCACAGAGTAGAAACTTATGAATTCTTTCCTAAACCGAAATCCCTTGTATTTTTCAGGAAAGTACTAAATTTAAGAATGTTTGGACAACTCATTCCAAGTCACCTATAGCTTATGAGAGAGGAAGAATATATTTTGACAATTATCGGTGCTGTGTTAGCAGGTAAATTTTTAGTGATAATTTTTCAGACTGTTGATCTCATCAGTAAGTTTTATAGAATCACATGCTTACATTAATGTACAGGAAGATAGAAGAAAGGGAAAATAGGTCCGAAATAAGACTAGGCAGTAAAATGCACGTAATTTAAAAATCTTAAGTCTAAAATTGTGAGKTTCCTCTTTAGAAATACTATATTAAAGCACAACTACATTTAATCCAGACAAAATAATACATTTTCCCCACATTTTTATCAGTGCATGATAGTTGTACATAGTGATGGAATTTGTTGTCATATATTCTTATTATGCACACAGCATAGCAATATAACTTGTCTAATATCACTCCACAGCACTTCCCCCCCTCTCTTCCTGCCTCATTATTTATAAAACTCAAAGATACCAGAGTCCTGAAAGCTGGTTACTATATAATTAGATGCTGCTTTTTTAAGAGAAAAAATTTCAAACAAAATAATAGTATTTATAGATCCAGAATGTTTAACAGTTAACCTCAACCACAACAGTCCAACATGAGGCTACAGGGAAAGCTGCAGTGAATCCCCATATACCCATTACCTAGAATCAGAAACTATCAAGATTTGCAACACTCTCTTTCTCTCATCCATATCCCCTTTCCTTTACCTCTATGCTAGGTGTTTTAAAGCATATTCTGGACATGCTTCAGTGTGTATCTCTTAAAAAATCTTGGGCATTTTCTTTTTAAGAACTTTATTAAGATAGTTATATACCATACTATTTCTCCATGAAAAATGTACAATTGATTTTTTACATTCACAGATACACACAGCCATCACCATAATTATACATTTTCATTGTTGTAAAACAAAAAAGACAATCTTGAATGCTGTGATCCTAAATTTAGAAATCTCCCGAAATCAAAATCCCCAAAATTATAATCCTAAGAGATTTAAATGCCAAATGTTGAAATTTTAAAAGCCAAAATCTCAAAAACTGTAATACTTATGGGCAAAAGACTATAAAAGAAGGCTAAAAAGCCATATTCAGGGCAAGGGAGAGGACTACTGTATTTTTGATTGTATACAGGACCATTTCATGGGTAGTACTCGTATCAACAGAATGTTCCTATTTTCTCCCTCTTTTAATAACACAACACCATTAAGTTTAAAGATATCTTTATAACACCATTGTCATTGATATAAAGATATCTTTAAACTTATTTTTGTTATAATCACTGAATACCTTTTTGCTGTTTTTATTTTCARCAAACTTTTTAAATTCATTAAAGAAAAACAAGGAATTTTATTTTACCTTCATTTATGTCTTCTCTAACACTTCCATTTTTAGACCTGACTTATATCATTTTCCTTTCTCTGAAAAATGTTTTGAATATTTCTTATAAGGCAAGATATTCTCAATTTTGTTTATCTGGATAGTCACTTTTGAAGGATAATTTTTCTGGATACAGAAATTCTAGGTTGTGGAATTTTTTTGTTTTCTTTCAACACTATAGATAATTCACTTRGTTCTTGTTTGTATGATCTCTGAAAGAGAAGTTTGATGTAATTCTTCTCTTTGCTCCTCTGTAGATAAGGTGCCTTCCCCTCCCTGCTTCTCTTTTAAGATTTTCTCATTTTTTAAAAAAGAATTAACCTGTATTTTTTATTTATTTGTTTTTTATGTGGTGCTGAGGTTCAAACCCAGTGCCTCACTTGTGCTAGGCAAGTGCTCTACCACTGAACTACAGTCCCAGCCCTCTCCTCATTTTTTTTTTATTTTCTGCTCTTTGAATATGATATACCTATGTGTAGTTTCTTTTTCTTTTTTTCTTTTTAACTTCCCTACTAGTGTTTCTGAGCTTCCTGGACTTGTACTTGGGCGTCTCGTGAGTTTTGGAAAATTCTCAGTCTTTATTTTAACTATTTCTGTTTTTCTCCTTCTGGTATTCCCATTGTGTGTACATTACACCTTCTCTTACTTGTCCCATAGTTATTGAATATTCTGTTCTACTTTTTTCTTTTCAGTTTGGGAAATTTCTGTTGACTTCTCTTTGAGCTTACTGATTCCTCAGCTGTATCCAGCCTACTGATGAGTCATTTTTCACTTCTACTATACTGTTTTTGATTTCTAGCATTTCCTTTTGATTTTTATCTTTCTACTTAATTGGCCATCTCTTCTTGCTTGTTATCCACTTTTTCCCTTAGAGCCCTTAACATATTAATCATAGTGTGTTGTTGTTTTGCCTTACTATTAAACCCAGAGCCTTGTGCATAATGGGCAAGTGTTCTGCCACTCAACCACACAACTAGCCTTTTTTTTTTTTTTTTTTTTTTTTAATTTTTTAAACAGCCTCATTGAGTTGCCTAGACTGGTCTTATACGTGGGATCCTTCTACTTCAGCCTATCAAATAGCTGGGAGTTCAGGTTTAACCAGAGATTTTTTAAGTTCCTGATCTTATAATTCCAGAATCTCTGCCATATCTGAGCCCAGTTCTGATGCTTGCTTTGTCTCTTCAAACTTTGTATTTTGCCTTTTAGCATGCCTTGTAATTTTTTTGTAAAAGACTGTATGACATATTAGGGAAAAGGAATTGAGGTAAGTAGGCCTTTAGATTTTATGTTTATCTGGGTGAAGCTATTATTATTTGATGTAACCATAGGTATCAGAAGTTAAATTTTTCTTATTGTCTTGTTTATGTCTTCCCATTACTGGTTCCAGTGGCTTGTTTCTTGGACTCTGTTCCTGCTAACCTGTGATTCTTTCCCTGTGACCTCAATTCTCTGCTGGATCTAAGAATAATTGTTAATTTTCGAATTGTTTAGCCATTTTCTAATGAGTTCAAGCATCACAACTTCTGCTCTTTTCATGTTGCACCAGAAGCAGAAGTTAGAATAGTCTGCATTTGGAGTTTGTTCTGAACTCAGAAGGSCTCCTTCAGTTAGCTTTTTCTGGTTCACTCTGGCAAATTAGCCAGCCAATAATTTAGCCTATATTTCCAGTGAATGTGCCTATCTCCCATTTGTCTTTTACCACAGTCTTTACTGGTTTTGACAGTACACTTAGGCTTGATCCTTCTCCACATCTGTTGTAAATAAAGTCAGTTTTTCTAGAAGGAACTAGGGACTATCTGTTTTATGACCTACTTCTCCCAGGCATAATCTTCAAACCAGCACTCTAATAGGAGTAAATGAAACTCTTCTCTGTGAGTCACATCCCTGCTCTAAAAGCTGAACTTGTAAGTTTGAGGGAACACCAGCCTTACATCTTTTCAACTTGCCTCTCTTAGGATGGACCCATTGCAACTGCCTCTCTTAGGATGGACCCATTGCTTTATAAAGAGGGATAAGACCTATCAGGGCCCTAGTATTCTCAGCCATGTTGCACCCAAGGCAGAGCCTCCACTTCCTGAGTGGGACCTGGGTGGCAGAGAGGTGCCCCACCTCTTGACTACATTCACTCAGGACTCATTGTCTGCAACAGATAGCTGGGGGTTGGATGAGGAATGCTACCATTCTGCCTCTCTTGGGGAGATAGTTCTCTTAATAGAGGCAGTGGGGAGAGGAGCCTTGTGTTCTTGGTACACCAGTTTGAAGTAGAGTGGCCATCTTGTTGAACTAGGAATGAGGAAGAATGGAACCCTTCCTGCTCCAAACACCAAAGACTCCTATTATTCKAAGATTTTTTTTCCAGTGCTATGGATTAAACTGAGGGTCTTGTGCACAGTAAGCAAGTGTTCTACCACTGAGCTACATCCCCAGCCCATACTCCATATTCTTAATGAGTACTAATAGATTTTCATTAATAAACATGTCTTCATGTGCTGTATGTCCCCAATAGCATTTCCCAAGACTTTTAAGTTGTTATCCTTTTATAATTTTTCACAAGTTTGCTTTAAGAGTGTGTCTACAAAGCCTTACCACTGTCATGCTGGAAGTAGAAATCTAGACTTTTTTTATGTTCATAATGTCATTTTCACACCTAACAAAATTAGTGGTATTTCTTTGGTACCATTTGATAYGCAGTTCATAACTTCCCCAGATTGTACATATTGCTTAATTTTAATAAGATTAATCAGAGTAATTGGCATTGATTAGTGTTCTAATGGTAAATAACATTGGAGTTCTTTAACATGCCATCCAGGAATTTTTTTACCCAAAAGCTAGAATCACAAATGAGGTTGATTTTATTCCTGTGAAACTGTTTGGTTTAAACCTTTGACTCTRAGAGAATATCAAAGGTGAATAGAATGTCACTCTGAAAATTGTCTCTTTTTAAAAATATTTTTGTGTATTATAATTATATATAATGGTGGGATTTATTGTTACATGTTCATATGTGTGCACMGAAAGACAATATTATTTGCTCAGTTTTATGTTCCAGACCTCCTTCATTTCTCTTTTAACAGTGGTTTAATGTTAAAAGTTCATATGTTAAACATCTATATTCACGTCTCAATGGAAGTTGGCCAGGCATGGTGGCATGTACCTGTAGCCTCAGCTACTTAAGAGGCTGAGGCAAGAGGATCATTTGAGCCTAGGAGTTCAAGACCAGCCTGGGCAACATGGTGAGACCCTGTCTTAAAAATAAATAAGCCAGGTGTAGTGGTGTATCCCTGTAATCCCAGCCACTTGAGAGACTGAAGCAGGAGAGTCCCTTGAAGCCACSTCAGCAGCTTAGTGAGGCCCTGTCTCAAATAATAAAGAGGGCTGGGGAAGTGGCTTAATGGTAAAGCACCACTGGATCTATAATTCCCAGTACCAATAAATAAGAGACTGTTTTTACATCAAAGACTGTTCAATATTGGTAGAAATATCAACTTATTTTACCTTTCTGACAGATAATTTAGGAGCAAAAGTTGTAAAGAGACTTTTATTTTTTTTTAATAAAAAAAAAATATTTTTGTGGTACTGGGGATTGAACCCAGGGGCACTTAATTACTTGAGCCACATCCCCAGACTTCTTTTTTAAAAAAAATTTAGAGATAATTTCTAAGTTGTTTAGGGTCTTGCTAAATTGCTGAAGCTGACTTTGAACTCACTATCCTAATGCCTCAGCCTCCTAAGATGCTGGAATTAAAGATATGCACCACCGTGCCTGGCCAAGAGTGTTTCCTTTTTTATCCACTGATTTTCATTCTAAAATAATGGGAACAACTTATGTATTAATTTTGATTTTAAATATCAGAAAAATGGTTGAAGAACTCAATGGAATTCAGATATGTTTAAGGGTTAAAAAAAAAAGTTTAATATAATCCAATTTAGCAAAACAGTGTTCAGCTACCTCTATGTATTAGAAGAAAATGAACCAAAATGTGAATGTTTAGTTTTGTAGTTGTATAGTATTATAAACTATTTCATATTTTTCCTATGTATGTGTATTATGAATTCTGTAACCAAAAAAAATTAATAAGAAAAACAACAAATAGTTTTTTGGTATTTTCAGATATCYGTATGAAAAGAAGTCTCAAACCTGAGTAAATACTGCTTCATTTACCAGGAATACTAATAATTTATTTTTCTTTTTTTCCAGTGTTGCCTCAGAGCCAAAAAAACTCTATGAAATGCCAAAATGTTCCAAATCGGAAAAAATAGAGGATGCTTTGTTATGGGAATGCCCAGTGGTAAGATTTGTTTTTAGAGCATTTGTTTCTACAGTATTTTTAGCCTAGAAGAACTGGTTATTGTTAATATATTCCATTAAGGATTAAAACTTAAATATCACAGTGATTCCAGAATTATTAGCACAATGAAGAAGAGAATGTATCTTTTTATTATCATTTTCTCATAAATGTTTTTATCTTTAAAAAATCATTAATATTATGAATATTTTTTAAAGTAGATGTAGTTTTTAAATCTTGAAAATAGGAAAAGTTAGAAACATTAAAAGTTTCATAGCAATTTAAACTACTTTATTACTGTTCTTGGTGTTTAAGAGATCATTCTACTTACTGAAACAGAACCATAAAAAAGTATGGAGAGCATCTTTTATGATATACAGAATTTTATTGGTTCTTTTTAGTTATACATGATAATAGAATTCATTTTGACATAATTATAAAAACATGGAATATAATTTGTTCTTATTCAGTCCCCAGTACTTCCCCTTTTCCTCACCCCCTTTTCCCTTCCCTCTACCCTACTGATCTTTCTTCTATTTACTTACAGGTTTTTTGTTGTTGTTGTTGTTTTTAATTAGTGTCTTGTGGATGTACATAATGGTGAGATTCATTGTGGTATATTCCTACATGTACATGAGAATGTTAGATCAGATTCATTCCACTGTCTTTTCCTAACCCATCCCTTCTCCCTTCCCTTTATTCCTCTTTGTCTTACTCCACTGATCTTTCTTCTGTTTTTTTTTTTTTCTTTAATCCCCCCTACTTGGACTTTTCAGGCCTGCATTATTTCTCTTGGCGTGATGGTCTCCAGTTCCATCCTTTTACTAGAAAATGCCATAAGTTGTTATTCTTTATGGCTTAGTAATAATCCAATGTGTATATAKACCACATTTTCTTTATTTGTTCAACTATTGAAGGGCACTTAGGTTGGCTCCATATCTTAGCTATTGTGAATTGTGCCGCTATAGACATTGAAATGCCTGCACCACTGTRGTACACTGTTACACCGAGGAGTGCGATAGCCGGGTCATATGGTGATTCCATTCCTAGTTTTTTGAGGAATCTAAAGTGCTTTCTGGAGTGGTTGCACYAATTTGCAGTTCCACCAACAACTTAGGAGTATACCTTTTCCCCACATCCTTGCCATCATAAAGCGGATTCTTACAAGTTTTCTTCSCAAATGTTGTTAGGAAAATAATAAGATAAAAATAACAAATATGGCCATATAAGCTCATTCATCAGACCAGCCTTGCCCTGGTACATATTTTTCAGAACACTGTTTTTATGGAATGTTAACAGGTATGTAGGTACCAAAAGAGTTGGGAGGAATTGGGCTGTGGAAAAGTCTGGAACATTCTGAGTTCAGAAAGTTTACTTACATAATTACTTCTCAGAGACTTTATAATAACTTACATAATTTTACATAAGTTTACTTACATAATTACTTCTCAGAGACTTTATAATTCAAATAGTAATAATGTACACAATGACTATAAATCATTTTCCTAGATTCTTTTGGTTGTAAAACTTCCTTTTTTGGAGGAATATTTCTAAATGTAAGTTTTCCATGGCATCATTTTTTAATATTCTAAGTAATGCCTTCGGAATACTACAACCACTTAATCAGATCTTTAAATCAGTTTTCTGGAGCTGCTTTCTTTTTCTCTATATATTTATTTTCTGTTCATAGAAGGCTCCTTTCAAAATATCTTTTTTTCCCCTCAACTTCTCATTGAAAGCTATAAATAATTTTGTGCCCAACATACTTTATATATAATCAGAGATATGAAAAATTGTGCTGTATATGTGTAATAAGAATTGTAATGCATTCCACTGTCATTTATTTTTAAAAAATAAATTAAAAAAATAAAAAATAATTTTGTGCCTCCAGGAGTTTAAGCATCTTAATCCATTTTCATTTTGGTATGGTAGAGAGATGACAGATTTCTTACTTGAAAGTTTTGAACACACCAGTAAAAACACCAAAAATTTATAGAGAAATCTTGGCAAAAATAAAATTTCTTGTAACTTATTTTCTRTTCTCTCTTTAACATTTAAATATTTTGTTCTCATTTGCAGTGAAATAATGTTTTCCATGARGAAAGAGTAAGAAGCATATTGTATTAACACTGACACACTAATGTGAAACTACWTTTTAATTATTACCTTTCTTTTTTGAGACAATGTGTGAAATCCAACTTTTGGTTTAAGAAAATAATTTAAACCTGTTATATATGCTGCATCAAATGTTTTTTTAATAGGCAAGGTATAAGTAGTATGTTTTTAAAAACTGAAATTTCCATGAAGTGATACTTACTAAGATATTRTAGAAAAAATGCTTTTATATCATTGTCTATGACCCAAGGATGTAAGATTTCCAGTTAATAAAGTAAAAGCAAAACACAAAGAAGCAATCATTTTTCTTTCTGTAACATTTGACAGGGCAGACACTTCTTTGGGGGCATATGTAAAATAACCATGATCTCATTTTTTTCCTACTCTTTGTCCTAAGAAAATACTAAATTAATTTCAATTTTCTATTCTTAACTTTCTTCTTACTAACTACATTATAGTTCACAATTCATAGTAGACCCCTTTGCTCTTTTTTTTTTTTTCCTCCCTTCCTACATTAGACTTCCACCTTGAGGTAGCTCCTTAGTAACAAAAGTACCCAAACAGCTATCTACCTTTTCTAGGTTATTCATTGATGACAGGTTGTCTTTA